CAACTGCCCAGGTGGCAGCCTAAGATGCTCTCCCCTCCCCACCCACCCGCCCTCACTCCTTCCCTGGGGGTCCTTCTCCCGCCCAACCTCACAGAGCTGTAATGTATGCAAATTGATGCAAATGGTGCAGCTCTGGAGGCAAGGGTCCTGACAGCTAGAATCTGGGAGATGGAAAGAGAACCGCAGAGGGGCCTGGAAGAGATACACCCGTTCCCCCATGCCCACCCTGTGACCACCCGGCCCTGCTTCTTCCCCCAGGGGACTGGAAGCCAGCAAAGTGGTCCTCCTGCCCAGTTGTCCTGGAGCCCCAGGAAGTCCCAGAGAGAAAGGAGCTGCAGGCCCTCAAGGTGAGAGATGCCGGGGAGAAGGCAGGGACCCGGGGTGAACTGGGCAGGCTGGGGATCAGCGGTTACTGGTTACTGTCTGTGCTGAGAGGCCATGACCAAGAGGCAAGGAACCTAACGTGTGCCAGGCCGTGGGCTGGATGCCCAGCACCCCAAGTTTGACTCTGTGAGGTAGCTGGTTCTATCCCCAGTTTGCTGAGGGGAGTGTGAGGCTCAGAGATGATAAACTGTGTGCCCACGATCACAGAGCCAGGAAGGACTGCAGCTGGGATTTGACTTCAGCCTCCAAGTCACTCGTTGCCTTTTGGCCCTGAGCATGGGGTGGGACTTAAGGCACCTTGGTCTCTGGGATTTCAGGGCAACCTGGACCACCTGGCAAGATGGGCCCCAAGGGTGAGCCTGGTGGAGTGTGTGGGACCGTGGACTTCCTCTGCTTTCTTTGCTTCTGTCCCTGGACTAGAGAGGGGTGTCTCTGCTTAGCCATGGTTCAGCAATCCACTATGATCACCCCCCGGGGGGCAGGGGGGGGTAGAAGGCTGGGAGAGGAGGGGAAGATTAGGAAGGGGCCTGGGCACCCTCCCTTGGGTTTGAGGGCCCTCCCTTGGGAGTACTCAGACCTCAGATCCAACACTCTGTCTTTCCCTGGGGAAAGACTCCCTGTGTAGAGTCCCTCTTCAGGAGCCATCGAGAGGGTTCCTGGGGTCCCACACTTGGCCTGTTCCATTGCCCGCAGGGTGAGGGTTGGGAGATACTGTGGCAACACATCTCAGCCCATCTCTCCTTCCCCAGGCCCCAGAAACTGCCAAGAGCTGCGGAGCCGGGGTGCCACGTTGAGCGGCTGGTACCGTCTATGCCTACTCAAGGGCAGAGCCCTCCCAGTTTTTTGTGACATGGACACCAAAGAGGGCGGCTGGCTGGTGAGTGCCAGGGAGACTCCCGGGGCTCAGAGGCCAGGCCCAGTGGGCACTTCTTCCTCTTGGACCCTAGGGGGAGCCAGAGCCCTCTGGAGCTAAAGCATTCCTTCGAGTCCTTCACGGACCAATACTTACTGAGCTCCCAGAGGGCCTGAAGAAGTCTGAGAAGGCTCCTCAAAGGAGATGACATTTGAAAGGGCCTTGAAGGCTGTATAGAAGTTCTCTAGATAGATGCGGAACTGAAGGGCATTCCAAGTAGAAGGAAAGACAAACACACAGGGAGGCAGGAGAACACAAGATGGTTTGAGGAGACCTTGTGAATGAGCTGGGAGCAGATAAGAGGCCAGCTAATGTCTACAGGTGTGGGTCAAGGACAGATTAAGGGCCTCTGAAAAGGCCAGTGCATGGAGGGCATTGAATAACTGACTGAGGAGCGCCGGAGGCATCAGGCAGCCATGAAAGTGTTGTAAACAGGGGAGGGACCTGGTCAGACTTACGTTTTAGGGAAAAGACTCAGGCTGCACCATGGAAGGTGCATGGCAGTGGGGGTAGGATGGAGGCAGGGACACAGGTTAGGAGGAATTCAGGGGCCCCAGGCCACAGTGGAAGGGGAGGTGCTTAGACTGAAGGATATTGAGGAGGGAAACTGCAGGGCCTAAGGGCAGCTTAGCCTGCAGTGGGGACCGAGGGGCATCAGGGTAAGGCCAGGACTCGAGCTTGGGCCTCTGGAGGTGACCTCTCTGCTCTAATATCTCGATTCCCATAGTAAGTTAAGGAGGTTATTTTGACCTGGCTTGATCAAATTTGATCCCAGCATGACTGACCGTCCTCTAAGGACAGGGCGGATGTTCCCAATCATTTCAGTCTCCCTGGGACTTGTCAGGCTTTGGCAAGAGGTTCAGTGTCAGTAGAAGTTAGTAAGGGAATGTGGAGTTCATCACTATTCACAGGCAAAGATTGGGGCGCCAGGCTGGCTGAGTCAGTGGAGCGTGCAGCTCTTGATCTCGGGGTCGTGAGTTTGAACCCCCATTGGGTGTAGAGATTAACCTAAAAAAAATAAAAATCTTTAGAAAATAAAAACAAAAGTCACTTGGACTTACACGTTACTAACAAGCCCCCAATCCAAAGAGGGGGCAGGTGTCCGCCCTCCCCTCACAGTGCACCCACTCTCCGCTGCCACAGACCCCCACCCCCACCCCCGGCTTCTCCTCATGACCTGCCCGGCCTGGAGTAATGGCCGCTGAGCTGGCCTTCTCTGCCTCCTTAGGTGTTCCAGAGGCGACAGGACGGGTCCGTGGATTTCTTCCGCTCTTGGTCTGCCTACAAAGCAGGTTTTGGGAGCCAGGAGTCTGAATTCTGACTGGGGAATGAGAATTTGCACCCAGCTCACTGTTCAGGGTAAATTCCCAGCAGGTCCCAGGGAGTTTGGGGGGCATTTCTCTGGCACTCTGAATCCTCACCCTGGATCTGAGGATTCCTCCACCCGTGCCTCCTTCTTCCCTCCATGTACCTGGGAGCTGCGGGTGGAGTTCGAGGACTTCACTGGCAACCACACCTTTGCCCGCTATGAGGCTTTCCGCCTCCTCGGGGAGGCAGATCACTACCAGCTGGTTCTGGGCAAGTTCTCGGAGGGCACTGCAGGTGAGTGAACCTGAGGTGGGGCCCAGAGCAGGGAAAGAAGGTGAGGGAGGCTGGATCCACTCCCAGTGTGACCACGGCCTCCATCACTGACCCAGGGCAATTTCTTCCCCTCTGCGAGCCTTGGTTTCCTCATCTGAGAAATGGCACCCATGAGACAGAATGGTGCAGGCAGGAGTGAAGAAATTGGGCTCTGGAGGCCAACAGTCCTGAGTCTGAATCCAGCCCCTTCATTTACTAACAGCGTGACCTTGGGCAAGCTCCTTGCCTGTCAGTTTCCTCCCCTGTCAGTTTCCTCCCCTGTAAAATGGGCGAAGAGGCAGGGAGGGAGGATGTGGGAGCCATCTGAGGCCCTGCTGAGCATCTGCCCTATCTGCTTCAGAAGAGGAAGCAGAAAGTTTGGTTTTTTGGGTTTTTTTTTTTTTCTTCTTCAGAGAAACAGTGACTGTTGAGGAGAGACTTCAAAGAGGGAAGTGGTTGTGGGGATGTGCCTCAGGATCCCCCTTGCCCGGGCATTGAGAAGTCCCTCCCAGCTCCCCCAGGCAGAGCTGTTCAGGCTGCTGATGGGAGCTGGGGATTCTGGGAGGGAGACGAGGCAGAGGGAGGAGCAAGTGGCCTTGGAGCCGCAGTCCCCAGTTCAAGTCCCAGTACCACCGTGACTAGCCGAGTGACCTTGGGAGAACACTCTGGCTCCTTGGTACTGCTGTTTCCTCCTGGGGCCTGATAACGTCCACAGTGGCTCTGAGGCTCCTGTGAGATCATCTCCTCAAGGGTGCCAGGCATGGTGCCCGGCTCCAAGGTGCCTCCATCCCCTATCAGGAGACTCCCTGAGCCTCCACAACGGGAAGCCCTTTACCACCTATGATGCTGACCACGATATGAGCAAGTGCAACTGTGCCGTGACTGTCCACGGTGCCTGGTGACACGGATCCTGCTACCGGTCCAATCTCAACAGGCGTTACGCAACGTCTGAGGCCACCGCTCACAAGTATGGCATCGACTGGGCCTCAGGCCGGGGCGTGGGCCACCCTTACCGCAAGGTTCACATGATGCTTCGCTAGGACACCGTGGCAGCCAGCACCCTTATCTATCCTGTACAGCTTCCGGACCGAGGGCTACACTCCCCGTTGCCAAATGCCTCTGCTCCCCTGTCCACGTTTAAAAATAAAATCACTTTAACCCTTTCCAGGCTTGCAGGACTCTTCCAGTGACTGGGAAACTCAAGAGGGCAGAGCAGACAGTTGGCCAAGTGTCCGACTTCGGCTCACATCATGATCTCGGTTCGTGAGTTCGAGCCCCGCATCGGGCTCTGTGCTGCCAGCTCAGAGCCTGGAGCCTGCTTCAGATTCTCTGTCTCCCTCTCTCTCTCTGCCTCCTCTGCTCGTGCTCTTTCTCTCTCTCAAAAATAAATAAACATTTTAAAAAATTAGATTAAAAAAGAGGGCAGAGCAGAGACACGGGGTGCAGCTCTATTCAAAGAAGATCTTCCAGTCAGGAAGATGGAAGGGTTGGTCTCATAAGGTAGTGAGGCTTCTATCTCTGGAGGTGTGCAAGACGAAGCCAGAGGAGCATTTAAGGGAGGACTCAGAAGGATTCAAGCATCCACTGACAGCACCCTTGCATCCTCTGGGTCCTACGAGTGTACAGTTTTGTGGGGGGATTTGTGCAGTTTTCTCCCCCTGTTGACGCATGCCTGTCCCTTCTAAGTCATCTGTTTTCCACCCCCTCCTCTCTCGGCAGCCAAGTTCTCATTCTCTACTACCTCTTGCCTGTCCCATTCGGGGCTCGTTTGAACTCTGAGTCAAACGAGGGAAGGTCCGTTTTTCTTCCACAGGGTAACAAGGCAGCGAAACAGCAGTTACTGAGTTAGCATTTATTAAGCCCTTAATTCGCTAGAGTCACATTCTAGAAAGTGGCAGAGCAACACACAGAGCACAATAACTGCAGTCTGACAGGCAGTCGTGGGCTTGCATTCTGCTCCGTCATGGAACTGAGTGATCTTGGAGACTAAGTCCCCAGTTCCTGATTTCAGAGCCCACTGAGGTTTGCTGCCTCGCCAACACCAGGAGGTTAGGGATTTGGGGAGCTGCGCGGGTGTGGCAGGCCAAGGGCTGAGGTTTCGGGTTCTTCTTCGGGTAGGAAGAGAAGTGTGGGTGTGGGGACTCAGGTCCCATGGTCATATTCTGGGTGGAGGTCAAAGGTCAGCAAGGCTCCACAGCAGACTGGATGCTGGGGAAAGCAGCCTCCTGGCAAAAGGCAAAAAAAGCCTGGGCTCAGATGCCAAGTACCATGTTCCAGGCAGGCAAAGGAGCAGGTTTCTCCCATTCTAGTCCCTCTCTGCCTGCACAGTGGAGCCCTGGAAAATATATGTCCTTCGCTGTGTTCTGCACACCCTGGTCTTCTCTGGAGATCCATTCATTCCACAGACACCTGCACGGCGCGGGGGGGGGGCCGGGGGGG